TATTTTAACACCACACCTCTCCCCAAGAAATCAGCATTCAGTTCTTATACAACCCATAGTGACAACACACATCCCTAAGGCCTACTTTTACAGGAAAATAATCCCCCTCTCTCCTACATGCCCAACCCTAACTTTAGCTTCACTACAGCAAACGTTACAATTAGCAGACCAGAAATACATGCACGTGCACACGCGTGTGCGTGCGTGCGCTTGTGTGTGTGTGTACACTCACCTATTTGTGGTTTCAGGGGTCGAGTCATAGCTTCTGGCCATGCTCCATGATCTTCATCAAACCTCTTCTTAGAGCTACGTATGGATCCTGCCTCCACCACATCACTCTATAGATTGTTCCACTTTCTGACAAATCTATAACTGAGGAAATACTTCCTAACATCCCTGTCACTCATCTGAGTTTTCATCTTCCAGCTGTGACCCCTTGTTGCTGTGTTCCATCTCTGAAACATTCTGGCCCTATCCACCTTGTCAATACCTCTCAGTAATTTATAAGTTATCATCATGTCAACTCTATCCCTCTTGTCCTCCAGTGTCGTCAGGTTGAATTCCCTTAACATCTCCTTGTAGGGTATACCCTTAGCTCAGGAACTAGTCTTATTGCAAACCTTTGAACTTTCTCTAATTTCTTGACGTGTTTGACCAGGTATGGGTTCCATGCTGGTGCTGCACACTCCAATATGGGCCTAATGTACACTGTGTACAGTGCTTACTTAGATGTTGAAACATTATTCTTAGGTTTGCCAGGTGCCCATATGCTGCAGCAGTTATTTGGTTGATGTGCACCTCAGGAGATGTGCTTGGTATAATGCTAACCCCAAGATCCTTTTCCTGGATTAAGTTTTGCAGCTCTTGAAGCTCCTAAGCTGTACTCCATCTGTGACCTTTGTCCTTCCCCAAACTTCACGACTTTGCATTTGCTGGGATTAACCCTTTCAGGGTCCGTGCGATAGATCTACGGCTTTACTTTTAGGGTCCAAACCGTAGATCTGCGCCATGAGCTTAGCTCACTCTGATAAGCTGTGAGTGGTAAATTTGGGCCTAGATATGAGAGAATACATCTATGTGGTATGTGTGCACCACAAAAAACAAATCTTGCAGCACACAGTGTATAATGAGAGGAAAAAAACGGAGAACGTGATTTTCGATTAAAACAGCAACTTTGCAGTGTTTTTTCGTATGTTTTTAATAGTTGTATTTGCGATTTCTTGGTCTCAATTGATAGAATGGAAGACATATTACAGAAATAGAGATGATTTTGATTGGTTTTAGCACTGGAAATGGCTTGAAACTGAGCTCAAAGTAGCAGAAATGTTAAATTTTTGCCGATGTTCAAGAGTAAACAAACGACCTCACACGTCTAATACACGCCAGCTGGTGGGTCTAATACACATTCACAAATGTGGTGATGATATTTATACAATTATTACAATATTGCATAACAGTAAATCTTCTATTTTTTGGTTTGAATAAAAATTCATTATGTGAATAAAATATCAAAATGGAATTCATTTGTAAAGCCTCAAAACATAACTAATGAACAGAGGAAATGTTAGTTTAGTGCCAGGAATACCTACATTGTTTATTCTGGACCCTATTTTGAAATTGGAATATTTTGAACTTTGTGTTAAATTGGCCAAATTACCAATTTCCGATCACTTTATTTTGTAGTTGAAACAGTTGACTTGGCAATTTCTTGTGCTCAATCGATAGAATAGAAGTAATACTAGTGAAATAGCTAAGAATTTGGTCGACTGGAATAATGTAACTGGCCTAAAATGGGAGTCAAAGTCGGCAAAATCGCAGATTCGTAAATATCACTGACACATCAAAATTCGCGAGAGCATAATTTCGTCAATTTTCCATCACATTTCATACTTTTTGTTTTATTAACTTCAGAAAAAGATTCTCTACCATTTCACAAGAAAAAATAAAACTTTTTTTTTTTAAATTCTTGGACCCTGGTGTGCACTTCGAAATTTGGCCTCTGGACCCTGAAAGGGTTAAACTCCAGAAGTCATTTGTCGGACCAGGCTTGCAGGTTGTCCGGAGCCCCTTGTAGGCTTACCTGAGCCTTGTACACTTGTATTCTCCTCATTAGCTTCACATCGTCTGTGCACGTGTGATATACCTTTGAAATACCTTTGAAGAGTTTCAAGAGTTTCTCTACTCTCTGAGCCCGGCCATGGGCCAAGCTTGTCTGGTGCTTGCCTGGTCAACGAGGCTGTTGCTGCTAGAGGCCCACTACTCCACATATCCATCACAGCCTGGTTGATCTGGCATCTGGTGAAGATACTTGTCCAGTATCTTGGAGGCTTCTACACTTGTTCGAGCCATGTTTCTGATATCTTTTGGTTCCCGTATTGTCCCCATCGCACCCCTGCTCCTCACTGGGTTTACTGTACACTTCCTCCCATATCTCTCACTCCAGTATTTTGTTATGGCAGTGTGCAAATTTGGGACCAGGCCCTCGAGTACTTTCCAGGTATATATTATTATGTATCTCTTTCTCCTCTGCTCCAATGAGTACATGTTCAAGACTTGAAGGTGCACCCCGTAGTTTAGTTGCTTTACTGGCTCAATGTGAGCCGTAAACAATTTTTGTATATGTTCCAGCTCTGATATTTCTCCTGCTTTGAATCGGGCCGTCAGCACTGAGCAATATTCTAAGTGAGGGACCACTAGTGATTTGAAGAGTATTTTAAAAGTTCTCAATGCCCACCTCGTCATCTTCCTGGCTGTCATGATCTTTGTCTCGTTATGGTCTTTAAAAGAAAGGTCAGCTGACATATTATTCCCAGGTCTTTTTAGGTGTTCCTTATGTTCTATCTGGTGACCCTCTTGAGTTTTGTATATATTGTTCCTTTTGAGTTCTTCATTCTTTCCATACCTAAGCAGCTGGAACTTATCACCACTGAATACCATGTTGTTCTCCACTGTCCACTGGCAAACCCTGCTTATGTCTTCCTGTAATTTTTCAGTGTCCTCTACCGTAGTGACTTTCATGCTTATTTTAGTGTCGTCTGCAAATGATACAAAAATGTGCCGGGTATTTTTATATATGTCTGCTAGGAGGATGAGAAACAGCAGAGGTGCCAGGACAGTGCCTTGGAGCAATGAGCTTTTGACCTCGCTGATGCTGGATCTTGCCCTGTTCACTACTACTTTTTTGTGCTGTGTGTGTTAGAAACCTGAAAACCCATCTGCCTACCTTCCCCATAATGCCCATGGCCCTCATTTTGTGCGCTATCACTCCATGATCACATTTGTCAGATGCCTTTGCAAAATCTGTGTAAATCACATCTGCGTATTGGTCGTCTTCCAATGCCATATCTCACCAAGGCAGGATGACCTAAAAAGAAAAACGAAAGTTTTTCTTTTTAACTTTAGTAATGTATACAGGAGAAGGGGTTACTAGCCCCTTGCTCCCAGCATTTTAGTCACCTCTTACAACATGCATGGCTTATGGAGAAAGAATTCTGTTCCACTTCCTCATGGAGATAAAAGGAAATAAACAAGAATAAGAAAAGTAAGAAAATAGAAGAAAACCCATTGGGGTGTGTATATATATGCAGTGGATCCCCGGTTCGCAAAGCCATTGGTATCTGATAAATCCGGTATCCGAAGCATTATATCGCAAAAAATTTGCCTCAGTTCCCGTTACAAAACCCGGTATGCGATACGATTTGTACAAGACGTGTCCACATGTGGCCTGAACTGCCCCGTGTGTGCCAGTGTTTACAAGCCAGCCAGTGTGCGCGCATCTAAGGATACATTCGGTACATTCCATATTATGCATATTATCACTGTTTTTGGTGCTTGTTTCTGCAAAATAAGTCACCATGGGCCCCAAGAAAGCTTCTAGTGCCAACCCATCAAGACCAAGGGTGCTAATGACTGTGAGAGACTGTTATTGGTGTGGATAAATGAAAAACAGATAGCAGGAGATAGCATCTCTCAAGCGATCATTTGTGAAAAGGCTAGGCAGTTGTGTGAGGATTTAATTAGAAAAATGCCTGCAACTAGTGGTGATGTGAGTGAATTTAAGGCCAGCAAAGGTTGGTTTGAAAGATTTAAGAATCGTAGTGGCATACATAGTGTGATTAGGCACGGTGAGGCTGCCAGTTCAGACCAAAAAGCAGCTGAAAAATATGTGCATGAATTCAAGGAGTTGAATTCAAGATATGTTGTGCGACAGAAGTCCAGTGACTCAAGCTGGTCCTAATGGCATTAAAAGAAGAAGGGAAGTAACCCCAGAAACGGACTTGCTACCTCAAGTCCTAATGGAGGGGGATTCCCCTTCTAAACATTAAAAACTTCGACACTCTCCCCTCCTCCCATCCCATCAATCATCACCAGATCTTCATTAAAGGTGTGTCAATTATTCTATTGTGATTATTCTATTGTTATTATTGTTATTGTAATTATTATATTGCATTAAACTTAATATTTCATGTGGTAAAAGTTTTTTTTTTTCATACTTTTGGGTGTCTTGCACGGATTAATTTGATTTCCATTATTTCTTATGGGGAAAATTGATTCACTTTCCGATAATTTTGGTTTACGATGAGCTCTCAGGAATGGATTAATATCGTGAACTGGGGGTCCACTGTATATGCTTGTACATGCATGTGTAGTGTGACCTAAATGTAAGTAGAAGTAGCAGGATGTACCTGAAACCTTGCTTGTCTACGAGACAGAAAAAAGATACCAGCAATCCTACCATCATGTAAAACAATTACAGGTTTCCATTTTACACTCACTTGGCAGGATGGCAGTACCTCCCTGGGTGGTTGCTGTTTACTGACTTACTACCTAGAAGAGATCTTACCATCTGGTATATAATATGAAACACATGTGAGAAGTCTTACCATCTGGCATATAATATGAAACACAAGCAGGAGATTTTTACCATCTAGTATATAATATGAAACAGGTGAGTGAAATCTTACTAGCTGGTATATAATAAACATTTCTTTTCTACTAACCTGGTACCTTATTTATGAGGAAATTTGCCTCAAAAACACAGCCTTCTTCACCAATGGGATTTTTTACAGTATTCTCCACAAAACCAACCTCATGTCGCCCAAGATCATCCTGGATATCCAGACCAACATCTGCCAAATAGAACACTAATTTAACTTCACCATATAACATTAATCAATACCATGCCTATTACAAAATAGCTATAACAAAATTTCACCTATTTAAAAATTGTGTTGGTAGCCATCATTATGATACATCATAACAATAGCATATTTGTGCTGCACCTCTGGAGATGAACATTCTCTTCTTTATGTACTCTGTTGTCATGATTGGACTTTAGAGTTGCAAAAAAAATTTATACAAATACAATATTACATCAGTTACAAGATGCCCTTGATTCTCGTGTATTCTAAGTGTTTTGCAAATGCACGGTTCAGTGTTGGGTGAGGTACATGTAGACGTCTTGTGGAAACCACGGGGTTAACCACATCTTCCATGCTACTATACAGCATGCCTCAACCTCTGTACCTCTTATTCATTTGTGTTTTGTTTACACATTTTCTTGCTTACAATAACCTACAAGTTATGTGACACAGTTTTGTCTCAATACCTCTTAAACAACCTACAAGTTATGTATCAAAACATGCTTCCATGAAGAGATAAAAGATGATGAAAAATGAAATTTGAAATTATAATATACCATGAGAGAAGGAAAACGTTGGTGTCCATTGGTTACCTGTAATGTGAACAAAACAAGTTTACATATAATTAAAACTGCAGCCAAAATTAAATACTCTGCTGCTCAGTCAGGTTTAATAAATATTGAAACTGTCAGTGAAAAATCCTGTGAATTATTAGGGATAGAACGATATCAAAATTTTTGCCAACAACAATACAACTTCTCCTCACTTAGCAACGTACTCATTTACTGGTGACTCAGACTTACGACGGACTTTCTGACCAGTATGTATAATTAATGTATAATAGAACTGACTTCTTCTATTCTGTGTATTAAAATACAGTGGTACCCCGAGTTTCGTACATAATTCGTTCCAGAAGGCTGTTCGAGTGCCATTACCGAATGAATTTGCTCCCATAAGGAATAATGTAAATTAGATTAGTCCGTTTCAGACCCCCAAAAATACAATTACAAGAGCATTTATAATAATACACTTACATAACTGTTCGAGTTGGGAGCAGTTCGAAACTCAGGGTACCACTGTATACAGTACACTACTGTACAAACATTTAAAAATACAGTGGACCCCCGCATAACGATGGCATCACATAGCGATTTTTCCGCATACCGATTACTTTTATCGCAAAATTTTTGCCGCGCATACCGATTAAAAACCCGCTCACCGATTTTCGTCCGAGACGCGTCCAATGTGCCCTCACATGTGCCGCCCGTCCCATTGTTTACCAGCCAGCCTCCGCGGTAACATCCAAGCATACACTCGGAATATTTCGTATTATTACAGTGTTTTCGGTGCTGTTTCTGGAAAATAAGTGACCATGGGCCCCAAGAAAGCTTCTAGTGCCAACCCTGTGGTAAAAAGGGTGAGAATTAGTATGGAAATTAAGAAAGATTTTGAAGGGTTTGGGGCTAACCCTGAGAAGCCTATGCCAGTTGTGGAATCCATTGTGCCTACTTCAAAGATTAAGGAAATGTGTGCACAGTGGGTTGAACTGCAAACCTTTATAGATGAAAATCACCCTGACACAGCTGTTGCAAGCCGTGCTGGTGACTATTTCAATGACAATGTTGTGGCCCATTTTAGACAAATCGTAAAGGAACGGGAGGTACAGAGCTCTATGGACAGATTTGTTGTGCGACAGAGGTCCAGTGACTCTCAAGCTGGTCCTAGTGGCATTAAAAGAAGAAGGGAAGTAACCCGGAAAAGGACTTGCTACCTCAAGTCGTAATGGAAGGGGATTCCCCTTCTAAACAGTAGAAGATAATGCTCTCCCCTCCTCCATCCATCAATCATCACCAGATCTTCAATAAAAGTCAAGTGTCATGTAATTGTGCATGCCTTTTCAGTTTGTGTGTATTAAAATTAACATTTCATGTGGTAAAAAAAAATTTTTTTCATACTTTTGGGCGTCTTGCACGGATTAATTTTATTTCCATTATTTCTTATGGGGAAAATTCATTCGCATAACGATTATTTCGCATAACAATTATCCCTCTTGCACGGATTAAAATCGTTAACCGGGGGTCCACTGTATACTAAAAATCTTATAAATGGTGCAAAGGTGACATTAAAACAATATCAAAGATGGCTGACACAAACCCACTACAATTATAGTATGCTCCTTGCTTAGCAACAAATTCGTTTACCAATGCGGTCGTTAAGTGACGAGAGGCTGCACTCAGTTTTAGGCTGATACCAATACTGTCAGATTAGCCAATACTGACAGTGATTCAATCAAAATTAGCTGATACTCACCAATACTGATACTCAATTTTAGGACAATAGCAATACTTCAGCATACCATTAATTCTTATTATAATCAAGGTAAATGTTAAACCAAGACAGGCCAAACAGTGCAGCAAAGAAGGATGTGCAAACAACAATAGTGAGGGAGGGGCAGGGGTGTGTGAGGATAGGGATTAGGGGAGGTTGGGAAGAGTGAGAGAATAAAATTTAGACAAAAATGGGTGCAGTATTTTAGTTTCCATTAAAAAGTCAGTCTGCATCAAGGATGGGACTTTTTAGTTAAGTGTGTGTTGGGGTAATGGAGACATCAGAAATGATTCTTGCATGCCCACTGATAAACAGGACAACATATTAAGATAAGGTGGACTGACAGTGTGACCTGACAGTCCATGCAAAGCTGCTGGGCATTTCTCCATGTGGTATCCATGAGCGAGTTACACGTCTGATGTGCAGTGGGAGAGTGTAGTCTCCCCATACACAGTAATGGTGGGAAGACAGCCAGCTAGAAATCTAAATGTGGTTTGACAGACAACAATTTGTGGTGGTCTAACTCAGCCCAACATTGCTGCCAATGGTTGCAGCATTATTGGGTGATCACTGAAAAATGGTCTGAGAAAGGAATACCTGAATAGTTGACACAGCAGATGAGTCTGCTAGTTTGTTGTTCATATACAACAAAAGTTGTATATAAAGGATAATGGAATGAGGGGAAAAACAAATTTTTGGATAGCCTGTAATGCCCTTTGGGAGTCTGAAACAACTATAAATGATGAGGCACATATCAATAGTGTGTGTATGAGAGCAGCGAGAATTGCACATAACTCCACTGTGAAAACACTGGCCAATTCTAGTAAATTACCTTCAAGTATTCTCTCGAAAAAAACTGCTGAATGCCCAATGCCATCAGGAGTTTTAGAACCATCAGTATCCACTGCAAGAGCATCAGAATGAGAATGGAAGTGGTAAATAAAGAGTACGCATGAAATTGTAGGCAGCAAGTGAGCCTTCACACATGAAAAAGAGCAGCAGCAAATGTGAATCAAGAGAACTTCCCAAGGAGGGAAAGCAAAGTAGTAAGATGCAGGGTAAAGTAAAGAGAAGGCATATTACAGGAAATCACGGTGAATACGGAGAGGAAAGGAGCATATCAAATAAGGGAAATGATTAAAGTAGCCCTACTAATACCCATTACTGTTCTATCATGAAGGTTATGGAAATAGGCAGAATAGTGGACATAATGCATCGTGTCAATCTTTAAACAGAATAATTTCCTGTGTGTTTTTAAACAATTTTGTAATCCCATTTTCTTTTCTGTATTTTCATTCAATATTTCTCAACTTTGTAGGCTTTCTCAGCAGAATATATTTATGAAGATTGAGACACTTATGTAACATATGGGAATTTTTATTTAAGAAATGTTTTGACACACAGTGACTTCATCAGTCCATACAAAGGATAATGGCGAAGAACATGAGGAGTTTGAAGTAATCAGTCCGTCAGCCTTGAGTCAATGTAATCAGTCCATCAGTCTTGAAAAGAATACAGCATATGTGCGAAGAAGTGGCTTATATATGTACTGTAGACAGGTGAGGTGAAGCAGTTGTAGGAGGTATCATACTTGCAAATCTAAATGTGAAAGTAGGTCTTTGTCCAACACTTCATCCAACACTTGTCCAATCTTTGGATGAAGACATACTTCCACATTTGGATTTGTCAAGTGTGATACCTCCTCCGACTGCTTCACCTCACCTGTCTATAGTATATAAGCCATTTCTTTGCATATATGCTGTATTCTTTTCAAGACTGATGGACTGATTACATCGACTCAAGGCTGAGGGACTGATTACCTCAATCTGTTTAACAATATTCACACTTTGTACTTTGCACCCTGTCTACAGTACCCTCAGTACAAACATTAAGCCAGAGCTTAAATTCTCTCTGGAAAGCTGAAAAAAAAAAAACACATGGACACAAGACAAGTATCTCTTTAGTATTCCAAATGTACATCTAAACCCATTCAAAAATTCCTGCAAATAAATAACCCAAAAATTTGAAACTGCCTGAAAATGCCAAAAGTTCCCCATCTGCTAACATCTTTAACAACATTGTGAAAAGCACATACTAAATCATATAAATGTTGTATTCATTAACTTCATAAATTCTCTAGTTGTGATTTCACCACTTTAAGTCACTCCATAAAATACAGGTCTCTATGACTCATGAAATCATAATGACATGATTGCAAACAAACCATACCACGGGTGGGGTTAGGACCCGTGATCAGAGTCACAAAACTCTAGACCATGGCTAATGCAACGGTCTGGAGTTTTGTGACTCTCTGATCATGGGTTCTAACCCCACCCGTGGTATGGTTTAAAATACAGGTCACTGAACTGATGTAAATTCAATGTAATTTGTTTGCAATTGTCCAATTTGTCATTGGCAACCTGTCTCATTGCACTTGTGATTGTAATGAATTACTCAACCTGTACTGATACACAATGACTAAAATTACAGTATATGCTGGGTCCCTTCAAGAAAGGTTCCTTGATGCTGGTGAAGGGCTCTTGATGTAGGGAATTGTATCTGTGCTCCAGTTCTCTGAATTGAGCCTGAATACCTTCCATCCCCCCCACAGGCACTGTATAATCCTATGGGTTTAGTGCTTCCCCCTTGATTATAATAAT